ACCCCACCCCACCCCCGATCAATCATCGTGAGATTTGTAAATGCAGCACCTAAGGATGAGGTTATAAAAAGGGTTAGAAACAGGTTTTCTTCAAGAACAAAAGGATCATGAACAACTCAAGAAGAAGGATCATCAAAATGGACACTGGAGAGACGACCTTTACAGCACTGACCAAGGCAGCCCAAACACTCGAGGAGCTGAAGTGAGAGAGAGAACATCCAAGAAGAGCTGAAAGAAGGAAAAACACAGACAAAAAAAGAGAAACACCATGCTGTCACCATCTGATGTAAATCTCCTTCTACAAAACTGAAGCTGAACACTAAAGAGAAGTTGGAAATAAATGAACACAAAATTTGTTGTAACAAAAAAAACAGTCCAGGATGAGGAAGGAGACATGTCATGGGGGTGGGGACAACCATCCAAAGCATAATAATCACTATTCTAAATGTATATGCTTTTATCACTAATCACCAGATCAAGGTGAAGGAACCCTAACTATGGGAGGAAATTAGGAGATTAATAATAAACTAGAGAGATTAGCAGTAACAGAAAGAATATGACAGTCAGGAGACTCATCATCACAGTAATAAACATGGAGGGAACAGACCTTCAACAGTGACCAAGCTATTGTCCAATGTGTTGACTATAATGTTTTTACTGCCATGTTAGCCAATAGAATGCAAAATAATTACCAAAAAATCATTAAACCAGATTAAACAGGATGTATCATTCAATTTACAATCAATAACAATAAAGAAAAACCAACCATCAATGATCCTCAGCTGAGACAGAGTTTGACTGGCTCTTTCTGGATAACAAACCTTGACAGATATGAGACCCAGAGGAACATTTCATTTTTAGAATAAAATCCTATTTTAAAAGTTAGAGTCAACATTATTACTGGGCTGCACAGCTAATGGCTAACTGTATGGATTAAGAATAACAGTGATGTTGGTGTTGGAAGTAAATTGTCAGATTTAGGAAAACTGCTGCACCGGTGATTTTTCTTTACCACCAGGGACGCTGTTCACACCCTGATAAAATTCACTATTAACTCCAGTCAACAACATAGAAACACTGGTCTTACACCTGGTCTAGTCTGGTCCCTGTCACAGACCTAAGTCTGGACTTGAGTCCAGTTTCAGTAAAGAGAATGAAAAGTGAGTCACGAGTCAAAAACTTCTGCAGGTCAACATGTTCTGGAATCTTCAGCTTCACACACACACACACGCACACGCACAAACAGCCTGTGGTCATTAAAGACAGATTATCTCAGCAGTTCTTCTGAACTCCTGGTGGTTTCACCTGAAGCCACAGAGAAAAATCTCATCCAAACTTCAGTTGATGGTGAAATGTTTAGTTTTATTTCTATATAAATGTGTTTTTCAACAGAATCAGGAGAAAATCAGGGATTAAAGATTCTAGATCCTGTCTAACAATCAACTTAAATCTAGTCATGTTAAAAAAACGACAACATTTCTTTACAGTTACAGCAGGAACTAGGACTCAGTACCGACAGAGCACCCCATGCTGCTGGAACCAGATTGTGACTCAAAAGCCAACTAATAATGTCATAAGAAAACCTGTAATCACACACTCCTAACTTCAGTAATCCATACTGACCACAGGGGGCAGCAGTAGACCAACAGCTCTGTTTTCTCTTTGGATTAAAATCTGTAATTTTTTTCTGAAAGATTCCGTTGTTCACAAACGTCACCTTCCTGTCGTTCAGTCAGTCTTAGACAGGTCTTAGGCAGCCGATAAAGATGAGATGGGGGGGGGCAGTCGACCCAACTTTCCTTTTTGGACCTACAGCCTCTAGAGATGAAGACCAGATCCACATCAGGGTCTTGAAGTCAAACGTACTCACAGCGAGTCTTCACATTCATTACCTGCCTCCTGCTCTGCAGCGCCACCTCAGGCTGAGGTTGCAGTTGTGTCTGCCACCACCAGCAGTGGGAGACGAAGAGCAGCCCAGACACAATCTGGAGGAAACCTGCCGCCCAGCCGCAGTAGAGGGCGTCTCCAAACTCCCATCGAGGAACCACCTCAGGAACGGTGTCGTCAAAGAAGTGTTTGACCGCAAAGTGGGCCACGAAGGACACCGGGAGCAGACACAGGAGTCCAGACAGCAGGGCCAGAACCCCACCCACCCCACTCAGAGTCCTCTTCATCCTGTCTTCACAGCTGTTGACCAACTCCAGTCCAGTGCCACATAACAGGATTCCCAACATTCCCAGGACCAGGGAAGAGCATATGAGGAGCCGAGCCAACTTCAGGTTCTCAGAAAGACCCAGCAGGCTGTCATAGGCCCGACACTCGGTCCCACCCACATCCTGGACAACGCAGCTCTGCCACAGACCCAGCTGGTAGCTCTCCATGGGAAGCAGTGGCGTGGACATGGTGAGCCAGCACGGCAGCAGGGCGGTGCTGAGAGCACAGAACCAGGCCAGCAGGTCCAGAAGAAGGGCCAGAACCTGCAGAGCACTGCAGTCCATCATGTGTTTACACTGCACTCTGATCCACACTCCTGAGACTCTTCACTCTGACCAAAGAGAGGGGCCCCTCAGCTACGCCCTCCCCTTTCTGCTCTTTCAGCAGTGCCAGCAGGAGGCAGCAAAGGGCAGACAGATTCCAGGTTTTTAATAATTTTAGATTTTAAAGTATCATTAGTTTGAGATTCTAAATGTACGTGACTTCACGAAGAAGAAAAAAAACTTTCAACTGTAGAGTTTCTGACCAGAAGCTGCTGGGCCACTGCTGCCTCCTGTGGTCAGTTGATGTCACTGAGGTGAATCTGACCCTGGAACAGTACAACCATAGACACATAAACTAACAACTGCCGTGTCTGTGTGAGCTCAAATCATTGATTTTCTCCATGAGGTTTGGTGTGGGAGTGAGTGACGTGGAATTGGGTCCAAATCAGATCCAGTCTAAACAAAAGTGGATTCAACGTGAAGCTGCTGCTTCATGTGACTGAAGAACAAAAGAGGAAGTCACTCAGTATCGCAGTGTAGGACAGAAGGTCGTAGGGGAGAGAGCGCGTGCACACACACGCACACACTCAGCTGACTGCAGAGACGTCAAGACTGGAGACGTGTTTGTCCTGCATGCACACACGCACCGAAACATACACACACGTACACACACTCTGGTTATAGTCAAGAATCTGAACCTTGGTCCAAACTAAGGAGACCCTGGTCCATGAGTCTACAGAAGAGCTGCTTTCACCTTCATACTTGAATAAACACTGCCACCTGTCGGTATGATGAAGTCACTGTGTGTTTGGTTAAACATGCCGCTTTTATAAGAATTATTGACGGCTTTTGTTTTCTAGCGAAGATGTGGGGAGTTGGGGGGTGTTATTATAATTTAATCAAATTGAACGTTTAAAACAAAATTAGAAAATAAGATTGACTGTTGTAGTTTAAAGAATTCATCAAAAAGTTCGTTCACATTGATATCAAATTCACTTAGTAAATAGAACTGTAAGCTTTATATAACATTTTATAATTTTATAAGTTAAATGATTTAAATCCATCAAGGTTAAATCATTGATGGTAAAATAAGTATGGTGGTAAAGAATTTTGTTCATTGATTCTTCAAATAAAAATAACATCAATACATCATATTGTATAAATTTTTGTCTATATATCCAAAATAAGGTGTATTATTTTTACAAGTTGTATGTTATTACATATACATTACATATATAAGAAGAAGAAGAAGAATACGTTAATACTATCGTTTAATTAAAGTTGAATAAGCATTACATTGTTATTCGCGCCGTCGTTTTGTCTTTTAATTGGTCGAGTCCATTTCGTTTTACGTCGTCGCATTTATGCAAAATAGTTGGCTCCGAATATGGACACGGAGGAAAGAAAAATGGTGGAGTAGGAAGCCAACATGGCGGACGGAGCACCGTGAGACAGACGCCGAGCAGGAGAGCTGTCACCGCCGCCGCTGCCCTCGACAGCGCTCGGTGTGGAATTGGAGAGGAAGAAAAAAAGAAGAAGAGGAAGAAGGAGAAAAGAGTCGATGTAAGCTCAGCGAAGAAGAAGAAGAACTTTCTAGAAAACTTTTTCCCCCAGGAAATAGTTTTTCTTTTTTCTGCGGAAAGAATGGTTGTTGGAATGTGGTGAAGACCCTGGAAGTATTTTTTTTCTTTTTAACCGGGGACAAAAGCAGGGGCAGCGGCAGGAGAAGGTTGTTGCCCGCTTAGAACGACTCTTCACCGGCCTGCGGGCGATCATCATGCCGCGGCTGAGCGGCGGCAGGCGGAGGCAGAGCTCAGAGCTGCCGCTGCCCGCGGGCTGGGAGGAAGCCCGGGACTACGACGGCCGGGTGTTTTACATCGATCACAACACCCGGCAAACTTCGTGGATTGACCCAAGAGATCGGTACGTGACAGGCCCAGTAACACACACATGCACAAACACACACGCAGGCTGACCGCCGTATCAAAAAGATAAAATATAGTTTAGGACTTAAAATGCTGTTCAGTTATTACAATGGTACGTTACACACACACACACACACACACACACACACACACACACACACATATATGTACAGTTCAGAAGTTTCTTAATCATTTGTTGTTCCTTGAATTATGTGTGTTGGGTTAGTCTCAATAAATTAATCTCAATAATTATAATTAAATATTAACAATCGAATTAGCAGCAACTTTGACTCGTTACCAGTCAGACTGCCAACACTGGAGTCTGCTCCAAACCCTTTGGTCTGTGACTCTGGTTTAACAGTTAACCTAACCCAATGAAGATGCTAACCCAGTAAAGATGCTAACCAACAGTGAAATGTTTATAGACACTACAGTTTACCTTCTTAGACTGGCTCACAGTGCACCTTACACCCACAGTGCAGTAGTACTACACAGTACTACATAGTAATTCATACACATTCTGTGTGAACACTGAACTTCTATATGTTAAAGACAGAAGTTCATGATCATTAAATCAGGCTTCACTGATCTGGATTATGAGCCTAATCCTGCTCCTGGTTCTCCGACCTTCATCTGTGGAATTTAGAGCTGAAATGTTTCTGGATATCTCTCTCTCTCTCTCTCTCTCTCTCTCTCTCTCTCTCTCTCACACACACACACACACACACACACTACCTATTGTTTCCCAGCTTCCCCTCAGTTGAAAACTCTGGGTGAAACACTTCAAACTCTCACAGACTGCAATTCCCAGAATTCCTTGTGAAAAAATGTCAGGAATGTGAGCTGGGGCAGAGGATGTGCTTTTGTGGGACTGGGATTTCAGCTCAACAAGGCTTCAAGAGCAAAGAGTCCTGGGAACTGTTTGATTGTAGAATTAGGACCAGGACCAGGACTAGGACCAGCAGCTAAAGGTCCAATGATAACAAGTCTCAGATGAGAGAACTAAGACACTGACAGAGACATGTGTTACTACAGAGACATGACAGGTATGAGTGAACTAAATGAAACACAGCTCTACTACACTAAAAACAAACTGGCGCCGCCTGCTGGTATACTTCAAAACCAACCCACTTGGCAACTGTGACATTTAGAGCAACCCTAAAAACTAACAGTTAAAATAACAGAAGGTTCTGCTGGTACTAAAGCCTGGTACTGGTCCAGTTCAGTTGATCTACAGATCCACACAGTTCATAAAGCTTCCTAGGCCTAGTACTTGCTGGAGTTCAGCAGAACCCTGGCACTGATCTGCAGTACATCTCCAGCAAGGTTCCATGCCTTTGGATTTACTCAGTGTTTCTGCTTACTATTGGCAGCAGGGGGCGCTGATTATATCAGACTTTCAAACCAAATGAAAGCTGGACTTAATCGTTTAGTTCATTATAAATATATTTTCAGAACCAGGTTCTGACAGGTTCAGACTTGGACTAACAGGATTTAAATCATTTTTTCAGAATCACTAAACCACTGACATTTGCTGACTGCGTTGGAGACGAGCTGCCTCTGGGCTGGGAGGAAGTGTACGATCAACAAGTGGGCATTTACTACATCGACCACATCAACAGTGAGTTCTCTCTTTATACAGAGCGCCACCTGCTGTTAAAACCAGCCTGAAACAAAGGATGGCCTTCACTGAACGAGTAAAAGAAAGGAAACAAAGACCAAAGTCCATAGAGAAAATCAGTGATTTAAGTTCAGACCAAAGTCAAAAAATCTATATCCTGAGTGGTTATCCATACCTCAGTTTTTGACTTTTTGGTTGCAGAGACCACCCAGATTGAGAATCCTCGAACTCAATGGCGGCAGGAACAGGAGCGCATGTTGAAGGAGTACCTGGTGGTGGCTCAGGAGGCTCTGGAAGCCAAGAAGGAGATGTACCTGGTGAAGCAGCAGCGTCTGGAGCTGGCCCAGCAGGAAATGCTGCTGTTCCACCAGCTGTCTGAAGACAGTTGCTCCATCAGCAGCAGTGAGTTTGGATTTAAACATTTGTCTTGAAAATGAAGAGAAGAGAGAGAATGCCAATGCTCCTGATGTCTCCACAGATCTTTCTGGATCTTCCTCCTCAAATGCCAAATATGACCCTGACCAAATCAAAGTGGAGGTGGCCTGCAGACGTGAGCGGGTATGACAGCTGTGCTTTGTCCTCCCCACCACAGTGTGGCAGCAAGGCTCTCTCTCCTTCCATTTGTTTCCAGGAAATGAATAGCATCAACTTAACTGTACAAAATCAGAGTAATGTAACATATGTTACTGTCATATTTAATATACCGTAACAGTAACATAACAGATAATAACAGAGACACTGCTGCCTCCTGTGGTCAGTGCATTCCACTGAGGTAAATGTAAAAGGAAAAAACTAAATAAAACATTTTTTAGGTTAGCATCGAGGTGGATCAACAACTGCTGTGTCTGTGTGAGGTACAATCACTGATTTTCTCAATGAGGTTTGGTGTAGGAGAGAGAAGTTCAATCTGTCAGGTATAAACCTGAACCTGACCGTCAGACATGTCAGTGGGTCAGGTACTGTCTGTGTTTGATGCCTGTGGTTCTGGTTCTGTTTGTCCACAGCTGTGCAGACTGAAGACAGAGCTGCTGCAGGTCAAACAGGAGCTGCACTTCAAGGAGATGGGAGTGGAGACGCTGCAGGAGTGAGTCTACCTCTGTCTATGTGTGTGTGTGTCCTGATCTGATCTCAGCCAGTAGTATATAGTGATAGATTGATATTCAAGGATTGTTAAGGAAATGCATATACAAATATAATAACATTTACACGTTACTCCATCAGTACTGGAGTCTGAAAGCTCAGCAGTGTGTGGGGACAGTGCCATGCTCAGTGGAAACTTGGCAGCTGGTGGTTGGTTGTTACTACAGGAAAAGTCCAAAATCTTTGACTTTGAAGTTTATTTAAGGAAGTATAATAATATAGCTCCTCTAACAGGACAGTAAGATGTTTCTTTGTACTATTAATTATTACTAATAGATATGCGTCTCAGTGCTGCCCCTGCTGTCATAGAGTAGAAGTTAGCACAGAGGAGGAGCCACACACTTGGCGCCTCCAAGGGGCTGCTTGTTAACATAACAGTTTCCCCAGAGCGGGATCAATAAAGTTCATACATAAAAAAGAAATCATTTTTTGAGAGTGGACGAATGAGCAGCAGTAACAGCAGTAACAGTAACAGCAGCAACAGTAACAGTAACAGCAGCAATAGTAACAGTAACAGTAACAGCAGCAACAGTAACAGCAGCAGTAACAGCAACAGCAGTAACACCAGCAGTAACCACAGCAACAGCAGCAACAGTAACAGCAGCAACACCAGTAAGAGCAACAATAACAGCAGCAGTACCAGCAGCAACACCAGTAACACCAGCAGCAGTAACAGTAACAGCAGCAGCAGTAATAGCAGTAACAGCAGCAGTAACACCAGTAACAGCAGCAACAGTAACAGCAGCAGAGTTTGTGTCCATTTCCTGTGGATGTGGAGACAGGATCCAGCTCAGGAAGAGGAAACACCTCTGAATTTAGGATTTAGAGCTCAGCCCGGACAGGAAGTGGCTGCGGCTTCATATCTGAGACGACATTCCTTTCAACTTCCTGACTGGACTGTTATCTCTGAGAGCATGAGAACAACAACAACAGCGGGTTGTGAGAATCAAAAACACACACATCAGTCAGTGTTTGTGATTCTGTTCTTCAGGATCGACAGGAAGATGTCATGTAGTCGGACAAACTATAAGTTGGACGAAGCTCAGGCTATTGTTACTGAGCTGCGAAACATCAAGAAGTCCATCAGCTGTGGAGAAAAGGAAAGGCAGGACCTCATCCAGGTCAGTACTGCCCCTTACTGTCGTCTGTAAACAATCAGTCACCTCTGTACTGCCGTCTACTGTCACATTCTATGGGGGTCAGGTACTGATGGTTAGGAAATGATTTTTTTTGTGTGTTTTTGGTTCTGGTCCAGAGTCTGGCCCAGCTGACGCTCAACTTCCACGACTCTTCCTTTTCCACTGCTTTGGCTTCTGACACAGTGGTGAAGAGCGCCTCCAGTGTTGGGACCGAGTTCTCTGACACCGGCTGTCAGACGGACATGACAGCTGAGGTCAGTTAGTCTCCTGTTGTCCTGGTACTGGTCCTGACTTCATGGCAACACGGCTGCTCTTTAGAGTCAAAGTCACATGATCTCTCTTTGTTCTTTGAACTGACTTCCCAGGATTCCTCTCCACTAGTCGACAAAGTCAAACTGAACTGGCAGCACGAGGAGGCTAAGAAAAGGTGTGTGTCTGTGTGTATGTGTGTGTGTATTACCATCAGTAGTTTTTATTATGTTTACTCTGCTGCCCCCTTCAGGGTGCAGACCATTCAGCACCAATTGGCTCAACTGGACTCTGAGAGCTGGTCTGGGCGGGTTGAGGCAGATCGGGACCAGGACCTGATGCAGCTGTTGCGTGAGAAGGAGGCATTGCTGCAAGAAATAATCGTGGTCAGCAGGAGGCAGCAGAGTCCTGAAATATTGCTGCAACTGGAGGAGGAGCGAAGCAGGCTGGAGGAGGAGCTTCAGCGGGCACAAAGCTGCCAGAGTCAGGAAGCCAATCACAGGTTAGGGCTAAAGTGAGCTGACCTGTTGCTGTTTCAGCAGCAGCTGCTTGCTAATTTGTGACTGCTAGTTAACCTGACTATTGCAGCTAATTGTTCTCAGCTCATTTCTTTAACCTTAAATCTGTGTGGGTCATTTCTAACCAATAACTACAACTAGCTTACATTTTACTTTCAAATATGATCTAACCTTTGACCTTTGTATCGGACAGGATCCTGCAGCAGGAGAAGAGGAGTGCTCTGCTTAGACAGTTGGAAGAAGCAACACGCATCGCCACATATCTGCGCTCACAGCTGAAGAGGTACTAATGCTAATTCTGTGATCATGGCTCACCCAAACACCCTCTGATGCGTCTGACCTGTGGCTGTGATGTCTCTTTGTTCCCAGTCTCTCAGCCAGTTCTCTGACCGTGTCCTCCAGCAGCAGTCTGGGTTCTCTCGCCTCCAGCCGTGGTTCTCTGGCGTCCAGCAGAGGTTCCCTCAGCTCTGTTAGCTTCAGTGACATCTACGGATTCCCTCAGTTTGAGCGTCAGGAGGGTACGGGGGATCAGCCAGAGACCTACTCCAGGTACCTGCCCCCCCCAGAGGCTGTGTTCAGAGATACAGACCCACTGAGCCAGACTAAAATCAAACAGTCTCAAGACACGCCTCAGTCTTTGACCTCGTTGTCGTCACGGTCGTCGTTGTCATCACTCTCCCCGCCCAGTTCTCCCATGGACACGTCCCATCACTCCATTCCACAGGACTGCTGTTTGACTCAAATGACGGAGGAGTATGTGGAGAGGACGGGGCGAGGTCTGGTGGAGGTTCTGAGAACCCCCACCTGGCTCCACACATCCACGTTGAGCCCAGAGGACACGGTTAGCCCCAACTTAACCGCTGTGCAACAGCTGGACAACAAGAGTTTGAGAGACGCCATCGCTCAAGGGACATCGACCTCCACAGGTGAGGAGATGACCTCCACCTTCTTTCTTAGTAGATGCTAGGTTGTCAGGTGGTCTCACTGTGACCAAAAAGTTGGGTCGTGGGATGTAGAAGGAGCTCTGGACATGTCCGCTGCACCTGAACCTAGTGGCTGCTCCAGCTTAAGCTAAATCAATCTTTTATTCTTTGTTTCAGGTGTGACTCTGAGAGAAAACAGTACCACCTGCAGGATGAGGAGAGTCTCTACGGGCGTCTGTGAGGAAGCCCTGGCCACAGACAGTGGAGTGTTTGAGTCATGGAGCAGAAGGTAAGATGATGTGGCATATGATCACCTGACATAAACAGGAAGTTCTGACAATCTAAACAGGCAGTACTCTAGAACCTGACATTAGTTAATTGTGGTCCCACAGAACAGAAGATGAGGAGACAGCAGGTAGTGCAGAATTCCTGAGCACCAGTGAGGACGTGCACATCCAGCTGGGACTGCTGTGAGTTTTCCATCTGCTCAAACTCGTGTTGGAGTTCCACAGAATCTGGGTTCTGGTTCTCCTGGAACTGTTTTGGAGCCATACTGCAGTAACTGTTGCAGACTTGTTGTTCACAGGTATGAGTTCCAGTCTCAGTCCCTTCGTCTCCACCTTTTGCAGCTAAAGAACCTCCACAAGTTTCCTGTGAAGAACGGCCACAAAGTGTGAGTTCTGCTTCAGATCAAACGGGTCCGGTACCAGGACCATTGACAGAACCTCTGGAGAAGAGTTAGCTTCAGTTAGCGTCTTTTATTCTTCTTCAGGTTTGTGAAGGTGTCTTTGCGTCCATCTGGTTCTGAAAGCATGTCTGGGTTCTACTGCTCCACTGCCACAGAACCACGGAGTCAAATGAGCTTCAATGAAGGGTTCCATGTTCCTGTTCCGGTAGAGCAGCTAGTTCAGAGTGTTCTGCAGGTGTTATTGTGCTGCCTGGGACCTGAGGCCCAGGAGGAGGTTCTGGTGGGTCTGAAAGGAACCGGGTCGTCATTGGTCTAGATTTCTTTTTTTTTTTTTCTTCTGGTGACAGAAATCTGACGGTGTCAATGTGTTCATGTGTGGCCACAGGGAGGCACTCAGCTTTGTCTAACAGACTGTGATGGAAGAACAGAGATGGTTTATCATTGGCTTAGCATCCAGACGGGGGCGGAGCTTCAACCACAGGCAGAAGATCACGACAGGCAGAGAAGAAGAACTAAGGTCAGAACAGACAGGCTGTTGCTAGAATGTCTGTGCCATCACTGGGTGTGTTGTTGGTTTGAAACTCTTTGTTTTCTGTCCAACCATCACAGGAAGTGAGGTCACACGCCCCTCAGTTTTCAGAGGTGGAAGTACAAAGAGAAGAGAAAGCAGAAAAGTCTGAGCGGTGAGGAGGTTGTGACATCACAGTCTGACACAAACACAAGTCTACACTAACCAGCTGAAGAGGCAGCCATCAGTCTGAGGATGTACAGGCTCAGTGACACGTTAGCATGTTGCCTAGGTAACCACTGACCATCACACTGCTGATGGAGAACAGCATCCAGAAACGTATGTGATGAGTTTCTTCTGGTCTGACTGACAGATGTATCTAAGTTTCTTAAAGACCATTAACATTTGCATCAACACTGGTTGATGGACCATTATAACCAGGCACTCCCCCTCCTCCGACAGTAGATAAAACAGCAGCTACACCTCCATTTCTGTACAAAACATTGCTTAGAAAAAACTCTGAACCGTACCCCATCCATATCAACATGAACTGTGTTCCACGTAAATGTGGGAAAGCACGCCACCTACTCTCTGACACATGACAGACACCATAACCCACCCACCTCTGACATGTTTTTATGTGACAGGAGCTGGCAGGAGCAAGAGTCAGCAGACAGCAGCAACAGCATCAGCATCAGCGTTGCCTTCACAACATCCTGTTCAGATGGCGCGTGTGTTTCCTTTGGGGGGCACTGTGACCAGAGCAGCAGCAAAGTCAGCGTGGTTAAGGTCAGCACACATACAGTCCCTGCAGCAACAGCACCAGTGTTGTAAGCATTAGTAAAGTGTGTTGTTGTGGTTGACCTACAGGTGGAGAAGTGGACCATGACTGATCCACCACGACATCGACCCAAAGAGCGAGGAAGTCGCTGGAGTTCGGGTTTTATGAGGGGAGGTTCCATCGTCCGGTCACAGACTTTTTCTCCAGGAGCTCGAAGTCAGTACGTCTGCAGGGTGAGACGAGTCTTCTACTGAATCCACCAGGTTGTCTCTATGGACTTTGGTCTGAACTAAAATCACTGATTTTCTCTATGGACTTTGGCCTAAGCTAAAATCACTGATTTTCTCTATGGATTTTGGTCTGAGCTAAAATCACTGATTTTCTCTATGGACTTTGGTCTCATTTTTATGGTTTTCTTTCACAAACGCAGTATAATATTGACTGTATTTACATTTCTATGAAATTATAAAGTATATATATACACACTTCCTTGTTAATTCTGACTCTGATTCTACTTGTTGTCTTTTATCCAGTTGTATCGCAGTGACAGTGACAGCTCCACGCTACCAAAGAAAAGTCCATTTGTGAGGAACACGTTGGAGAGAAGAACATTGCGATACAAGCAGGTGAAAAGTCAAAGGTTCCCCAGCAGCTGTTCCCCGCTTTCCTTTGTCTGAGTGCAATTGGTCTGGCCTGTTTTCCACAGCAGTCGTGCGGCTCCTCCCTCGCCGAGCAGCCCACACGGACCTCTCTAGATCTGGAGCTGGACCTTCAGGCTTGCAGGACCCGTCAGCGGCAGCTGCTGGAGGAACTGAGCGCGCTACGAGAGCTGAAGCTGCGTCTTGAGGAACCGCGGGTCGGGGACTGCACGGAGCTGCCGACAGCACTGAGGGATGAACGGTTCCAGAGGCTGCTGAGGGAGGCTCAAAGACAAGTAGGGGGGCTGGGGCAGTTACAGATGGGCCAGCACTCCTCCACCTCCTGCAGCCCTGACACAGCAGCTCTTTATCTCCAGGCAGGTCAAAGCCAACAGGAGCAGCATCAGGAGGAGGCACTGGAGCGCAGGATGAGGAAACTGTCCAAAGAAGTTCTGCAGATGAGGGGGACAAGTCAGAAAGAACCGCTACCGGTCCAGACCTTTAGGTTGGAACTGGTTCCTGGGCCAAAATCTAGTACCATCTCTTGTAGAAACTTAAATTTTTTTTGGCATAATTTAGTCAAACTATCCACCTGGGGGAAGCACTGACCCAACACTTCCTGTTTGAGGTCACACTAACTCAGGGCAGCCTTTGGTTTGTGTTTTCACAGCATTTTATAAAGATAAAGATTTAAATGTAACATTTGCTTCTGTTTCTCATTTCAGACAGAAGATGGCGTTCTTTACCAGACCTAAATTTAACATCCCTCCACTACCAGCCGATGACGTCTGATACATTTCCTCCGGGAAACATGAAGTATTTTATTTTTTTGAGTTGATGAAGAAAAGCAGCAGAGGGCGCTCACATGGTCACACACATCCTAACATTACTTTCTGCCGAGGAGGTGGAGTCAAAATGAGAATGGAATTATTTGACTTTTCCTTGGAAGAAAAGTGAAAAGCAGAAAAAAACATTTTTGTTTTTGCTCTGCTTTTTATTTTGTAGCTTTTGGAACAAACAGCACTTCAGTGTTTTTACATCAAACTACTTTTTAAAAATATTTACAACAAATGTCACTTTGTAATCTACTTTGTTACTTTTCCTAATAAAATTAATATTATTCCATGTATATTTCCAAATATAGATGAAAAAAATGATTTCAGTTTCTGTCGTGTGAAGATAAAGATCACCAAAACTAAACTTTTCTCTATTTCATTTTTTTTTAATGCATCACTGAAAAAAACTCACCAAACTCTCCACGCCACTTCCTGTCTGATAATCAGGCTACGACTCCACTGAAGAGTTGTTAATTCAACGTAACAGGAAGTTGGACTTTGTGAAACAGGAAGTGGCATCAGTCAGACAGGAAACAGTTTGGAGTTTCTTTAGTGGTGACTACAGTGGGATGGATAGGATTGTGGGCAGCGTTCCGATTGGCGGAGGGTTGTACTTCTCCACTCTCATCAAACGTCGCAAGATGTCATCACGATCCCAAGGCCAACGATAAACATTTGTGTTTTGAAGCCAGTTTGGAACGTGACACTGAGGAAACGAGAAGCAAGTGACATCACAGAATTACATTTCTCGTAGTCGTGCCGTGATCCTCTCTAGAACAGGGTGGGGGTCAAACACCATTTTTGAAGTGGTGTCCGAATCCTATTTACACAAGTCAAGCGATATATCCCATCATGCATTGAGGTCATGACGGCAGAAGGAGCAGAATTGGTCTGTTTGTTTTATTTGTGCGACAGTAATGACGTAATTAACTGTGCCGCGAAATATTTCATTATTTCATAAATTTTTCATTTAACCGATAAGTGCACTATATACAACTGCCTGTAGAGGGAGTAGGGGGCGAGTGAGGGATTTCTGACACAGCCACTGGGCCGGTTTCAGTCCACGTGCCGTATGATTGACACTCGTGCTGTAGAATATAGAAACTCACTTGTTTGGCTCCAGGAAACAGAACAGGAATAAAACGGAAGTTTTTGCTTCCGTTCTGGATGAACTCGTTCTGAAGCTGGAAAAAAAAGACAAAAAGAGTTTACTTAAATATTTTGTTGGTTTTTTTTTTTTTATGTTGCTAACAGCAGTTTGTGTGTTTCTTCACCTGTTTGTGAATGTAAACAGTGTTAAACGTCCTCTCATCATTCTCCACTCCCACGGGTGGAGCTGTCACAGTGTGGTGGTACTTTGGGCTGATGACGATGATGATCAAAAACTCTCTCTGAGAAACACATCATTTTCATTAACTGACCTGCAGCACAGGGGTGTTCAGCTTAACAACAACAAGGCCGACTCTTCTCACCTCATTTAAATATCGTTCCATGAAATCAATGTTGCTGATGCTTCTGAACTGCTGTTCGAAGATATCAATCTGTAACACATGAGGGCGTGAGTGCATCTGAGTGTGCGTGTATAACCACAGGCATCTAAATATTACCTAGCGTTGGCATGCACCTACGTGTGTGTCAAAGCCATTGTGTCGCAGTAGAGCCACAAAGTTAATGACCTCGTTAACATGATCGTCGTCATCATCTGCATACGTCACAAAAACTTTTCCTGCCAAAAAACAAGGAATTTTGCGTGAGTCATTTTTTTAATTACTTGGCCCAGTAATTTGATTACCATTAACAGTAATCTGATTACTTTGCCCAGTAATCTTATTACCAGTAACAGTAGTCTAATTACTTGGCCTAGGAATGTGATTACCATCAACAGTAATCTAATTACCAATAATAATCTAAATACTTTGCTTAGTAATCTAAATACTAGTAACAGTAATCTGATTACTTGTGTCATTAATCGGATTATCGGTGCCAGTAATCTAATTACTTGTGAAATGAGAAAGTCGTTCACGTGACCAGACTCACTCTGCTCCAGTGACAGCAGTGTTTTGTAACTGTTGGGGGCGCTGCTGTTCTTCTTCTCTTTCACTGCAGCTTCATCAGCTCTGAGATGAATAAACAAACAATTATAAATAAAAACAATTATTGATAAACAAAGTCAGAACCATCAACCCACCTGCAGCTGTGTGCAGCAGCAGCAGCAGCAGCAGCAGCAGCAGCAGAAAACCCAGAACCTTCAGTTGGACCTGAAATCATTACAGGATCAAATTCAGCTTTATTAATCACATCTATGATCTGGGTTCCCTCCTGGTTCCTGTGTTACGTCACATTGTTCTAACCACTCACAGTGTGGGTTGAAGGTGGACTTGTACGTATGTCCCACTGCTGCCGGGACGCGAACTCTTCTGTTAAAGCTGTCATTACAGCATTGAGCCCAGCAGGGGGTGCTCTGAGGTGAGCAGGCATAAGGAGACAGGGCGTGGTGAACTATGTGGTGACTTGGTTGGTGGCCAGTGTCCCAGGAGGGCGGATCTGAGTGCAGGGACAGAGGCGGCTCTAGACTCCAGATGGTGCTGGTACTGTTTGTGCAACTGGGTCCAGACAAGAAGCTGTGGTTCTGAAAGGATCGGAGACTGTCCGGGTACAAAGACCAACCACTGACCAGACTTGGGCGGGGCCAACATCTGTCAGTCTGACTGGGAAATGGAGTTGGTGGAGCAGAGCCGGCCATCAGACTGTGTGGAGGTTGGACCGACACAAACCTGTGACCCGGCTCCCCCTCTTCTGAAATCTGTCCACTCTCCACTGTGACCTGAGAGGCAAGGTCCACTGTGGTAGGGCAGAGATGGGTGTGGGCGGGGTCAGTCGTGATGTCAGCAGAATCTCGAAGGCTCATGGTCTCATCATCTTCTTCAGGGAAGTTTTTGGTTCTGGATCAGGAGCAGAAAAAAAACAGAAAAAAACCCAGAGTTCAGAAATGTCAACTTTCTGAAGTATGTCGCTAGACGTGTGTTTTTCTTACATGTGTCTCTGCAGTGATGATGTCAGCATTATTGGAGCTCCGCCTCCTCTTCAAAGTCACAGGACGGTCAAACCAACATCTGACAAATCTGAGAAGAACACTTACAATAAAACCTTCAAAATAGACTGAAAAAGAAGATAAAAATATGCAAGTGAAAAGTCCTCAAAATATAAGTTTATGTCCAAATATATTGACACGTTTCTTTTCAATTGTTATACAGAAGCCAAATACCACATGTTAAAAATGGACCAAATACTATATGTCAAAACTGGACCAAGTCCTAAAAATGTGGTTTTATGTCCCAGAACATGCAGCAGGTGGAGAACTTCAAAAGAACAACATACTCAGTCCACAAAATGTAGTCTTGATTCTAATAACTGCAGGTACCATCGGCCGTGTCTACAGTCGGAGCCGTGACAGCAGTTTATTCTCATCAACTAAAGATAAAATCTGATGTTCAACTAAATTCAGTTCAAAGTAAAACCACAGACAGAAAAACAGATTTTCACAGAAGCCGTGAAGAAACCACCGCGCACACACACACACACACACACACACACTAAAATGAGGTTCAGTGTGGGAAAGTCAGTCTGCTGTCTCCACGGAAAGTTCCAGTAAACAAAAAAAAAAAAAGAAACTGCAAGTTTTTTTTCCACACTGCAACAGATAATCTGCTGAATCTGCATTTAATGCTTTAAATACCGAGGCCACGATGAGGTTTTTTTTTACCAGGGTCTGGATCAGAATCAGTGTCACAACAGGACACAGTACCCATCAGTCCTGTTGTGTCCTTCTTGCACCGTGTTTAAGGGTCAAAACCACTGAATCTGGCACTGTTTGAAAACACGCTCCTCAACCGATAAGAGGCTACATAACATTCAAAGATTAGATTAACCTATTCAGGGTTCACTTCACAGCATTTAATGAGTAAAGTATTTGATTAAACTATTGACTTATCTTGGTTACTGTTACGTTAGGTAGTCAGAGTTAACAAGGTAACATTTAGAGTTTAAACAAGTCGGAGTTAATTAGATAACATTTAGAGTTTAAACTAGTCAGAGTTAGATAACATTTAGAGTTTAAACAAGTCAGAGTTAACTAGATCACATTTGGAGTTTAAACAAGTCAGAGTTGACTAGATAACATTTGAGTTTAAACTAGTCAGAGTTGACTAGATAACATTTAGAGTTTAACCTAGTCAGAGTTAACTACATAACATTGAGTTTAAACTAGTCAGAGTTGACTAGATAACATTTAGAGTTTAACCTAGTTAGAGTTAACTAGATAACATTTAGAGTTTAACCTAGTTAGAGTTAACTAGATAACATTTAGAGTGAAAACTAGTCAAGAGTTAACTAGATAACATTTAGAGTGTAAACTAGTCAGAGTTAACTAGATAACATTTAGAGTTTAACCTAGTCAGAGTTAACTACATAACATTGAGTTTAAACTAGTCAGAGTTGACTAGGTAACATTTAGAGTTTAAACTAGTCAGAGTTAACTAGTTAACATTTAGAGTTTAAACAAGTCAGAGTTAACTAGATAACATTTAGAGTGTAAACTAGTCAGAGTTAACTAGATAACATTTAGAGTGTAAACTAGTCAAGAGTTAACTAGATAACATTTAGAGTGAAAACTAGTCAAGAGTTAACTAGATAACATTTAGAATTTAAACTAGTCAGAGTTAACTAGGTAACATTTAGAGTTTAAACTAGTCAGAGTTGACTAAGGAACAGAAAGCTCTGTTAAGTTAAGGTAAAGCAGGCTCAGGTTGACTCACCCCGTAGTTCCCCAGCAGGTTCAGACTGATCCCGACTTCCTGTTTGAAGACACGACAACAGAAAAACACCAAAACTTTTCACTTCAGACTGAATTCTTTTCCAGATTAAACTTTTCTTCAGGCTGATGAAACTTTGGTTCCTGTTTGTTTTTGACTTGAAGAAAAACCAGAAAAACTGAAACAGGAGCTGAACAAGCTCCGCCCACCAACCTTTATCTGTGCCACAGGCACTGACAGGAAGTGTGCGCGCACACACCTGCAGCAGCAGATCTTTGATCAGTGTGTGTCATAGTTCATGTTCATAAAACAGAGTTAAAAACACTTTTGTCTGCACTTTCTAACTGATCAATGTGCCGCCCCCTGGTGGCAAACTGTGCAGTAAACTGGTATAAAACCTAAACAAAAACAATTTTGAGTTAAGATGGGGGTTTTCAAATTACCGAAAGGAAGACAAACACTCTGTCCTGTCTGTCTTCTGTCCCCTCCTCTGTCCTCAGTGTTCTTCCACGTCCTGTCCACAGAGGAATGGAGGAGACGACCAGGAGGAAGCTGCGTTCTACTGTTGGTTTCTCTGGCTAACATTTAGCTAACAAAAGCTCAGTCACTTTTAACAGTGTTGCTATATTAACTTCAAATGTTTAAACCATCAATTTAGACATTTTAATTAAATTTTGTTGACTCACCGCTTTTGTCCAAGCTTCTTTAAAATCTTTATTTAAATGACAAATCAGTTTGTGTTCATTTCGTAGCATTTTTAGTTTTTTTCTTTTTTCAGGCGTACATGGCTAACACCAGATAACGTGGCTAACACTAGCTAAAGATTGTTTTAGTATTTGGTTGTATTTTTAGTTTGAAAATTGTCAATTTTGAGTTGATCTTTTTGTCAAACTATGAGCACATTGCTATATCACTTTTTCTGAAACTTTAGCTCCGCCCTTTTCTTCTTCTTTTTCGTCTCCTCCTGAGTCCTCCTTCTCTTGGGCACAGCTTCTTCCATCTTTCTCCAGTGCTGCTCATTCTCTGCTGCAGAAGTTAGAAGTTTCCTCTTTTTGACTGGAATCGCCAAAGACAACAGCGACACCTGCAACAACACAGGAAACTTGGTAAACTGAAGATGAGGATGGAGCACAGCTCCTCGTGACTCAGTGAATCTTACCCCAGCCTTGTGCCTCAGAGTGCGTCCTTCTCCTGAGCTTCTCTGGACCTCCTCCAGCTGCTCCTTCACCATCTGCTCAAACCTGCTGTGGTCTTCACAGCAGGGATCTTTACTGTAGTCTCTGCCCTCAAAGTAGTAAATATGATCTGCCAGAGGGGGCAGCAGCAAGTATAAGGCAGAGAAGTTAACATTTCGATGGGAATCAGAGAAAAGAAAAAAAATATATTTTGTCACCCAACTGTGAGCATCCCCTGCTGCTACAACCAGCCTGAGGGACACAGGCTGCTACTAGTCTGTTTTACAGTGGACTCTCTAGATCATTGTTTCCCAAAGACTGGGTCGCGACCCTCTTTTTTTTTTCTAGGTCATTTCGCATCGTGTTTCCCAGGAGTTTACAAATGTCTATTGACTTGGGTTGTGAAGGTTTGTGACTTTTCAAACATGGGTCCCCAGAAAAAAAGTTTGGGAAACCCTGCCCCAGATAACCAGACCACAGGCTGGTCCAGAACACTAACCGTAACCCAAGATACAGAGAACAGTTTGAAATCAAGTGAAACCTACTTTTGTAAGAGTCACTGTCCTCCTCCTGCTCCTCCTCCTCCTCTCCTCGGTTGGATATGAGCTCCTCATCGTCCAGCCACTGACCTCCTTCAGACAGACCCAGGATCTTTTCCAGTTTCACTTCCTGGACGGAGCTCTCCTCTGAGGACAAGAGTTGATCCACTCCAACCTTCAGGATCTCACTGAGCTGCGGAGACAGAAGGTGTGAGGAGAAGGTGCTGAAGATCTGGACCTTCCCAGGAAAACCTGCACTGACCTGAAGACCAGAAGGTCCAGACTGAGCCTGGTCCAGCAGAGAGAAGCGGCCCTCCTCGATCACAGTGTTGGTCAGGTTCAGTTTGGAGACGGCTTTAGAAAACATGATCTCCTCCACCGTGTGTCGAGCCAGGAGACGGATCACCTTCACTGGCCTGTCAATCAAAGAGGAGAAGACTGAAGACCACGCCCACTCTCCTGCCACAAGTCCTCTAAGAACCAAGACCAGACCTGTTCTGACCGATGCGATGACACCGAGCTGCCGCCTGGAGGTCGTTCTGGGGATTGAAGTCCGTGTCGACAAAAATGACCGTGTCAGCTGCTGTGAGGTTGAGACCAACGCCCCCTACAGGCGACAGTGAGAATGTTGAAAAACTTTAACGTCACAGACACTGACTAGACTAGAGCAGAGGCAGAGACTTGAAGAGACCTGCTCTGGTGCTGAGCAGGAAGAGAAAGACTTGTTTGCTGCTGAAGGTCTTTACAGACTGGTTCCTGTCTTCTCCTCTCACCGAGCCATCCAGACGCTGGTAGCTGTAACCTGAGGAAACATGATGTGGATTCACTCAGTCGTCAGTCTTTTCAATGAAACCATGAACCCATTCATTCACCTCTGAACTCCACATAGTCCTGCAGGAGGTCCAACATCCTGGTCATCTGTGAGAAGAGTAGGACTCGATGATCCCTGAGGAAACGGCAGATGTTACCACAGTCAGAGCACCAATCATTGGTCTGAGCACAGTCCAAGTCAGTACGAGTGAGACCCTGAGGTCAAGTCAGAGCCTGTTTCCATACAGAAGTCAGAGCACAGTTTCAAGTCTGTTTCTGAGCCCAATCAATGCTGAGAATCTGACAGTCCACAGACCGAATCAAATTCTTTCTGGTCTGTCAGTGAGCACAAACATTACACAGGAGAACAGCAGAGGGCGCTGCACTGACCCGTTGTGCAGGAAGGACAGTAAAGTGTCCAGTAGACCCAGTTTGCCACTGGCTTCCACCAAATGCTCTCCCATCTCAAAGGGTTCTGGCTCCACACCTGGACCAACAGACAGACGTCAGTCAACAACACAGCTGAGAAGAACCCATCACCTGAGCAGATCTGAAGGTTCTGACCCGGGAAGAGATACGGGTGGTTCACACATTTCCTTAGGTTCATCAGGATGTTCAGTAGACGAGTCCGGTTCTTCTGCTCACTTCCAAAAGCCTCTGAAACAGGTGGAGCACATGTCAGGGCTTCAGGCCAGAACCGAGTCCTGGACAAGGACCTTCTGCACGTCTTACCTACGTCCTTCATCAGCACAGCTTTGTAGAGTTTCTTCTGCAGGGACGACATGCCGTGGTAGACCACCAGCTCCTGTTTCCTGGGAACGTCCAGCGCCACTTCCCACTTCATCCTGCGGAGGAGGAACGGCTCCAGGAGGCTCTGCAGCTCCGCAGCTGTGGAGCAGGAGGAGACAACAACAGACAGAGGATGAGGAGGCACAGAGGGGAGATCTGGATCTGGTTGTTCAGACCTCAGGAGATCTCTCAGCACAGAAGGCTTCAAAACCTGAGACCCTCACCTAGAGCTTGATCTTTCTGGACGCCACAGTAGGCGGAGCTAAAGTCCTCTGCCTGCTGGGCATTGAAGACATTGGGCTGAATGAAGGTGAGCAAAGAGTAAAGTTCCTGCAGGTTATTCTGGATTGGAGTTCCTGTTAGCAGAACCCGGAACTCTACGGAGAACTGAGAAAAGAACAAGAATGAAAAATAACACAGTGAGAAGAATCAAAAATCCAAAGGAATTCTGGGAAATTTGATCTAACTACATTTTTGAATTTTTTTGTCTTTAAGTAAAAAACTATGAAAACTTTCAGTTCTATTGAGGCTAAATTTAGGCTAATTGCTAACGTAACACTTCGATTCAGCTATGTAACTTTTTTATGACAGCTGAATCGAAGTGTTCAGTGATTAGCTGATTAAAAACTAAACTTTTAAACTTTAAATGTTTAAATGATTGTGGACTAAGTGAATTTTACAGTCACTCTGCACTTCTCAACCTGGGTCACAGGTAAAAGAACAGAAATCTAACACCTTGGTGTGACTACCTGTGTCAAAGTTTGATGCAACATAGATTTCTGGTTCTTTAATCGGTGAGCTTCATCAACCACCAGAATTTTCCACTGCCACCTGCAGGACAGAGCGAAAACCTGAGATGCAATCACAGGTTAGTGAGTGAAGTAACCCTAACCCTCAACACTAACAACTCCCCCAGACCAAAGTCTAAAGAGAAATCAGTGCTTTAAACGTTTGGTCTGAACTAAAATCACAGATTTTGTGTTTAAAACTCACTGTCTCAGAAAGGACGCGTCTTTAAGAGCCAGCTGTAAATAAATGCAAGGGGATTAAAAAGCCATGTGAAGGTGGAGGCGGTGGTGTTTTGTTGGAGGTGTAATGTCAGACCTCGTAAGTGGTGAGAATAAGATGGAAATCACTTGTTTTTAAAACCTCTCTTTGAATCTCAACCCGTTTTCTTTTGTCTCCTTTATAACAGATGAGTTTCAGTGACGGAGACAAACTGGAGGAAAAACAAAGACAAAAAGCCAGGATTTAACGTCAGTCTACAGACTCTAAAGACAGCCCAGGACATTTTCCAGGACAAACCTATTTAAAGACTTCCAGCACATTCAGCAGCTGTTCCTGTTCATGTCATGAGTGATCAGAGAGAGAAATATTGATAAGGAAATATCAACACAACAGATTACCAATTTCAAACCTGTCATCAGAACTTTGATTGACAGCTTTATAAAACAATTACTTTACTGTATTACAATAGTGATGAATCAGACAGAACCTGCTCAGCTCTTTACACCAGGTTTCCAGGACTGAGAGTGGACTCAAGATAAGAAAAGGACCTTTGACCCTGTGAGCTCCAAATATGTAGAGCAGCAGACTGATGGTCTGAGGAGACAAGAGTTCTCATCATCATCATCATCATCATCATCAAAGATGAAAAAAGATTCCAGTGTTCCAGACCTGACAGGTCTTTCCTAAGCCCATCTCATCTCCCAGAATGCACCCCTGCTGCTGCTCCAGACACTGGGTCATCCACTTCACACCATCCAGCTGGTACTTCCTCAGTTGGATCCCTGAGAGGAAGGAAGGAAGGAAGGAAAGTGAACTACTTGTAATTGTGACACAGCACATCACTGCACACAACCAAATGTGACCTCTGTTTTTAACCCATCACCAAAGTGAAGCTTTAAGAGCCTGGGGAGCAGTGTGTTGGGACGGAGCCCAGATTCCCAGAGAAACCACATACTTGATAATGTTAATCCTCTTCTGTGATTGGCTCTGGATTAAAGCATCTGCTAAATGCAGAAATGTAAATGTTAACCAGTGTTAACCAGTGAGCTAACGTGTCATCATCAAGTTACTAATATTGGAACAGAGGGATCTACATTTGGAATCACTAGAGAAGAAAGAAAAGAAAATGAACCATCACCAGGAATATTTGACTGGGAATTGGTGATCAAAAATCAATACACTGATAGAGGATATTGATACAGGATCAGGAAAGAAATACTGCAAGATTTCAGTGTTTGTTGTTTATACCCAAGTCTACAGACAAACAAGCAAATTAGTATTTAGTTAACTAGTAAACGTGTAAATGACTAGTAAAAATGAATTGTTTTAAACCAATGATATAGATTTAAGTAACTATGGAAGTTAAACTAGCACACTAGTGACCAGTTAACCAGTTATCTATTTAATTAGCCAGTAAAATACTAGTTGATTATTCAACCAGTTAACCAGACAGCCAGTAAACTAGACAAATAATTGACCTATTAACCTGACTTTCAACTATTGACTAGTGACTTAGTATAGCTAAACTGATAACCAGATGAATCAATTACCTGTCAACCCACAGTTCTGAAGAAAGCACTGTGTCACATGACCCTTCTTCTTCATCTTCTTCTTCCTCTTCCTTTTCTTCTTCTCCTCCAGCAGGTCTCTCACTCGGCACAGGAAGTCAGCCATCTTGTTTTTCACTTAGAAACAAATGTGGGAAGATGTGGCAAGAGGAGGTTAGCTGATGATCAGCTTTAGGGTTAGTGATGATGACATCACAGCCTGCACTTCTGATCTGAACATATGATTGGCGGTGGGGGCGGGGGGGGGCAGGTTTAAGAGGTGAACAGGTTAAAGGTCATTGTGTCATCTTTTACTGTGTTGGTTATGAAAGAAAAGTCACAAACATGAACATGAAAAATGACCAGCAGGCAGTCACGTGACCTCAGACGATCAACGTTCTTCAAACCCACAGCAAAAGACAAAAGGCAGACATAAAACAAAACATGAAAGTGACGCTTGTCACGTCTTTAGCCTTTCATCTCGGTAGCTTTTCAACTGTGAAAAGCTACAGTTCAGCCGCACATTTGAATTTTTGATAACTCTGAACGTGAACACCTACGCCACATTTTTGTGCGTACGCAACGTTCGCCAGACCGGAACCTAAACTCTTCCCGAACTTTAACATTCAAAATGACGGAAAAGATCAAAACTTAATTAAAACGGATATTCGTTGGTAAGAAGAGGAGAAAGTTCGTACCTTTGAGGAGTTCTGTCACAACGCGACCAGGACCATGAATCAGTATGTGACGAAAACCATGATCAATAACCCTGTTTTGGTCCGTTTGGGACCACGAGTAAAAAACGCTGCAGTTGTTGAATAAACTCCCTGGTCTTTTAAATTCCACTTTACGTTCAAGTTCGCATCCATGACGTAAGGAGATGGTGACGTAAAAGAAATGGCGGTTTACTGCTCGTGATTATTGTCTTGTAAAACAAAGTCGTTATCTGTGAGTTTTTTTTTGTTGTTGTTGTTTGTTTGTTTGTTTGTTTATTAGCTCATCTCCCTGCTCGGCTGTCAGTGTCTTCTTCGGTGGCTTTTACTCGAAACTTTTTTCTTTTTTCGAACAGCGCCTGTACCACGGCTAGTTACACCTTAGCTCTTTCCTGCTCCGGGATCTGCTCCAGAGCCAAGGCTAACATTAGCTCCGGGGCTAACTCCCGTGTATAGTAAAACCTCTCTTTTCGAACAATTTGGTTCTTGAACAAATTTTGACCAAAAATGGTCCCGGTTGTCGTACTTTAACTTTGTTTCCGAACAAGCCATCAATATCCCACGGGCAGCGAGTGCTCGTCGCGGGCAGCAGTTGAATCTAAACCTAATGAATGTTGGAGAAAGCGACAGACCGTGGTTTGACCATTCGTTGATTCGTACTGGTGAACGTACGACGTTAATTTGGTTGAATCAAATCGATCCAAGTTCGTCCTTCCGCTTCCGTCTCCTCTTGCTAATGACGGCAGATTCAACGGTGTCACTGCGCACCTGAGCCCCCTAGTGTTCAAAGAGAAACACGGCATTTTTCGGTCATATTTCGGTCATTTCCAAACACCCCCGTCCCCCTACGTCCCTCCCCTGCCGTATCAAATGACAAAGAATGACTGTTACAATAAGGAGTTAAAAGACTTTAATGTTGAATTGATGTCAATAAAACTCAAATCAAACTACGTCAACATGTGGCGAAAGTACAGCACAGGTAACATTATATTAGAAAATACAGCAGCAGCAACAACAAGATCAGAACCAACAGGAAATAGTATTAAATGATAGTCCACGAGGCTAACAGCAAAAAAAATTGTTGTAATTTAACTGAGTTCAGAAGCTGTGTAAAATTAGACCATCACCATTAGATCACCATGAGATCACATTCATGACATTCATAAATCCATATTTCTTCATGTAACAGTTCACATTTTTAAAAGCAGTTGATATTCAAATACCTTCCATTTATATATATATTGTATATACATATACTATATACATTTGTGCAATAAAGCCACTTACAGAGGAGGATCAACATGTGGTTCCTCTCGAAACCATGGTATAAAATATATAAAATTCCTTGATTTCACTCCTGAGGGACAAATAAATATATATTCTGCCCTTTAGTTTGTCTTTCTGTAAAAATAAAGAAAAGGCTACATTTAAGGAAGTCAGTGAGAAAAACAATCATTTCAAAATAAGACGACCTTCCACAGTAAACCTCATCCAAACCTGGAGCAGAAGCTCCAACTTAAACAAACCTTTTTGGAGCTTCTTTACAAACTAACATTTGAACATTTGTCTAAAAAGATCTAGTAGGAAACAGAACCGTAAACACTTTTATTGTTACAAAAATAGTTTAGAAAATTATAAATACATTTAAACTTCAGCAAATACAACTTTGATCAATGTCTCCAGCAGGTGCAAACAAATGGTCAGTAGAGGGTGACTGATTATTTTATAAACAAGGCCACCAGCTTCCAGATGGCCTCCCTGTAACAGAGGTCAGGTCACATGACTTAGAGCATTTTTTTTAAATCAATGAAATTCACAAAAAAGATTTGATAAGAACCAACCTGACACATGGGATGTAGGAGAGACTGTACCTGTCAACGTGACAAATTCACACCAGTTCACACCAACGTTACACACTGTTTTTTTGAAGAACGAAAACAGATTGTACTCACCAGGTAAAAGACAAGACTTGTAAAATACAGAACAACAAGGCTAGTCCGAAATTCTTCCACTGCAAAGACAAAGACACACACCGACTGATGAGAGCGCAAAAAAAAAAAAACATTTGGTTGATGCCATGACATCACTTACCCAGAAGGCTGCGCACAGGGTCAACACCAAGCAGGTCTGAAACAAACCAACCAATCAGAGAAGAGAAGAGTTATTAATAAAAAGTCAATAATGGCTAACTAATGAACCAATAATCAATAACTCGTTCACATGAATGATCGTAATGGTGGAATCGAGTTCACAACTTCACTGAAGGAACTGGAACTGTTGTTAAAAACTGTTAACGCAACTGTGGTTTCTGAGTCAGTCTTTTCATCGGTTCCACCTCAGTTCCATTAAGTCAGCTCTCAAAGTCTCTTCATCATCATCATCATCATCAACATCGTGTCAGTGGGAGTGTGAGGTCACGTACGATCATGATGGTGGTGGCCAAAGCTCTGGTTCTGTCACACATTTTCTTCAGCTGTTTGACTGGACCCATCAGAAACATGGTACTGAGCGGAACATCAGAGTGTAACATCAGAGTGTAACATCAGAGTGTAACATCAGAGTGTAACATCAGAGTGTAACATCAGAGTGTAACATCAGAGCGTAACATCAGAGCGGAACATCAGAGCGGAACATCAGAGTGGAACATCAGAGTAAAACATCAGAATAGAACATCGGAGCGTAAAATCAGAGCAGAACATCAGACTAGAACATCAGAGTAGAACATCAAAGTAGAACATCAGAGTGGAACATCAGAGCGGAACATCAGAGCAGAACATCAGAGTGGAAAATCAAAGTAGAACATCAGAATGGAACATCAGAGCGGAACATCAAAGTAGAACATCAGAATAGAACATCAGAGCAGAACATCAGAATAGAACATCAAAGTGGAACATCAGAGTGGAACATCAGAGTGGAACATCAAAGCAGACAGGGAATCTTGACTGGGACTGATTCTAGTCTAACGTTGACACAGAACTTGGTCTAGAACTTTAAATGGATTGGTCTTTGGAATGTCTTCAGGTGTGAACTTGATGACATCATCACTCACCTTCCCAGCGCACATAAGTTTCCAAAGGTGTAGAAAACAATGAAGAGTGTGATTCCAATCCTGGGCAGGAAGAGCACACAGACCCCCTGGTGGAAAAAGGAAGTTAGTGTTTACATTGTGCCACCTACAGGACACCAGGTTTTCAACAGCTTGTTACAGGACAGAACGACTCACCAGTATAGTACAAGCTGCACCAATCACAAAACACACAATGAATCCTTTGATCCTGGTTGGCCAACTGAGAGAAGAGGCTTCGTTCACCGTCTGAGAGAGAGAGAGAGAGAGAGACAGACAGACAGACAGGCAGGCAGTCAGACAGACAGATAGGCAGACACGTCAGGGGTAGGACAGCGGGTCAGAAAAGTTGTAAATCGTTGTTCATTCCGTAAACATGTTGTTGTTGTTGACTGTAAATACATGTTTTATTTTAAATTCTAAAGTGAAGACTTTTTGTGTCCAAGTCCATTGAGACATATCATGTGACTTTGTCTGACTTGACACGGACACTGCACTAGTATTAACTAGTATTACTATGACTACAATTACTAAACCAAGCACCTGCAGAAACGAATGAGGCTAACTGACATACAGCTACAATTAACCACTGACATCTGCCCCTCCGATGACGTCAGAGCTGAGCGCATGCGATCCAAATATTTACCAACCGTTTAAACAGACAAAAGACAGAAACCACAGAAGACTGACGTCAGAGTGACGTCTGAAGGCGTGAGTTTACCTCCAGAACGGTTCGGTCGTCTCTCCGGGCCTCTTCACCGCTCAGAACCGACTTGAGTTTGTCCATGACAGCCTGAACCTCGATGACCAGAGAGGACCCTGGTTCCGACTCGGTACTTCCTCCGTGTTTGAGTGTAGAAACGTAGCGGCTCTTCCTCTTTCTCCTCTTGTTCTTCGACTTCCTTTCTCGGTCGCACCCTGCGTCTCTTCACCTGCGCAGGTAGAACCACTTCCGCTTTCATCGTTGAACCAGGTAGAGGAGACAGAGGTCTCACTCTGACCCCAGTTCACGTTGTCAAATTGACGTCACATTTCTTACCTTTTCCTCTGGACTCAGTGATGGATCAACAACTGCTGCGGGTTCAAATCCCTCATTTTGATTCTGAGGTTTGAAACAGCGACTTTGTTAAAGTTTCCAAAAGTTAATTCAGAGGAAAAAAATTATTTGGCTTCCCTGCGAGGATTCGGTTTGTCTGAGTGTGTGTGAGTGTGTGTGAGTGTATGTGGTTGAGTGGGCGAACAGGTCGAACTGATCCTCAGTGGATCGACACGGTGTTGAACCTTCGTCTTCAGCCACGGACCTCAGAGGACACGGACACACACACATACACACACACCTGGTTTAACAGGCCCGACGGACTAAATTCCTGATGTGAAATCAAACCGTCATGTGGGCGGAGCCTGGACCAGAACGATCGTGGAGATTTTTTACTTTTTTGTTATGAAAAAGTTTTTTGGTTTTTGTTAAATTTTTTAATTATTTTCTTGTGTGTAAAGATGGGGACAGAGACAGTGAGAACGTGGACATTTTCAGGTCTTCTGCTCAGTCTCTTCACTGTCTGTGACGTTCACGGTGAGTGGACAACTCCGTCTACTTCCTGTTTTCAGACGCTGTCTCTGTCTCACTCTCTTTCTCTGTCTGTCTCTCCATGTCTTCGTGTCCCTACGTCCCCCTCCACAGACCAGCAGTGTGTCCTGGGTGTGGTGGGACGTCCTGTCTCCCTCCCCTGCGTCCATTTGCCCCTGGTGTCCCAGTTCAATGTCTCCGTGGAGTGGAGGACAGTAAGAGACCAGCAGGTGGTGCTCCGCTCTGAGTGGACACATGAGGGACATGTGCACGGATGGAGTGTACTTGCTGGAGCGTCCCTCCCCACGGACACTGTAAGAACAGGAAACGTATCTCTGCTGCTGTCCTCAGTCCCACCAACAGAGGGCTCTGTATATTACAGTCTGTTTGTGACGTCAGAGGATGACCGGCATGCGGTCTGCACAGTCTGTCTCACTGCTGCAGGTCAGTCATGCTGCCCTTTCGTCCTTTTGACCTTTGACCTTAGTAAATAGTTTGTTACTGAAGGTTGAATTCCAGTCTGTTTGATTTGAACAGCAGGGGGCAGCACTGCAGAGGTTTAGACTTTTGTGTTGATTTTCTCTCAGCCAGTTTCAGCCAGCCTCTGCTGCAGCGAGAGGAGGTGGAGCATGGAGGAGCAACAGCGTTCCGATGTCTTACCAACGGCGGTTTTCCAGAACCACTCATCCACTGGAGAATCAACCAGAGTCAGGAACCTCCGGAAGGTTCTGTTTGGACCCAGACAACGCCACTCCCCAACTCTCCACTCTACAACGTCAGTAGTCACATGACCCTCAACCTCTCCACCCACACCAGTGTCTCCTGCACCGTCCACAACCCGTCGTCCAATCAGAGCTGGACATCCACCATTGGTTGGTCAAGGTTCAAGTCTCTCTCCCGACCTGTTCCTACTGAACAGAAACCTTAATCCAGATTAATCTTGTCTCCTTGTTTCAGAGGGCGTGACGTCAGGTCCTGGTGTTGGTCGTGCATCGGAGGCGATGTGGATGTTCAGCACTGTCCTCTGTGTTGTGGTCGGAGTGATGGTAGTTGTGGGCGTGGTCTATCAGATTCACTTGGACCGGGTCAGTAAGAGGAAGAAAAAAGAGTTCCACAGATACATGAGCACCCGTGAGTTTATCATCTAAAAATCCCATAATCCTCAGCAGCTTTGAGTTCAA